TTAAAAAACAGATACAAAGGATAGATAGCTCAGAGAAAAGAGTATCCATGAGTATAGTTCTTCTACAGAGCTATCTAGCAACATACATCAAAAACCTTCAAAGTATTTATTTAGTTTGACTTAGTGATACTAATTTTAGAATTCATCCCGTGGGAATAAGCAAGAGCTATGGATAAAATGGTCATAATAGTATTATTTATAATAATGGAAAGTCGAGCTGGCATTGTGACATAGCGGGTTAAGTCATCACTAATAACACCAGCATCCCATATCAGAGTGCAGGTTGAAGTCTCAGCTGCTCCACTTCTAATCCAGCTTCTTGCTATTGCACCTGGAAAGGCAAAGATGGTCCAAGTGCTTGGGTCCCTGCCACCCACATGGGGAAGGCCAGGATGGAGTGGTTGGAACTTGGCTTCAGCCTGGCCCAGACCTGGCTATTGTGGTTATTTGGGGAGAATGAACCAGGCTGCTCTGCCTTTCAAATAAATCTTTAAAAATAATAATGAGAAGTAATGGTAAAACTAATTTTCAAACAGTACTTTATACTTTGTGTGTCTGTGTGGGTGCAAACTGTTGAAATCTTTACTCAGTGTAAAGTTGATCTTCTGTATACAAAGATAATTAAAAATGAATCTTAATGAAGAATGGAATGGGAAAGGGAGTAGGAGATGGGATAGTTTGTTTGTGGGAGGGTGGTTATGGGGGGAAGAACTGCTATAATCCAAAAGTTGTGCTTTCAAAATTTCTATTAAATAAAAGTTTTCTATTAAAATAATAATGAAAAATAAGAGAATGATACACAGCCAAAAGTGAAAAATATCTATTGACTGATTCATGGATAGGGAAAAAGTAGTACACATATACACAATGGGAGAGTACTCAGCCATAAGAAGGAATGATATTTTGACTCATGCTACACTGTGAAGATACTGAATACTTGAAGGCAGACAGAAACAGACAAGAACTGTGATTCCACTTGCAGGAGGTCCTTCAAGCAATCAGATTCAGAGGTACAGAAAGCAGAATGGTGGTTATCAGGAGCTGGAGGGGCAGAGCATGGTAGTTGACTGTTTAATGAGTATGCAGCTTTCCAGTTTGGAAAGACAAAAAGGTTCTGTGGAGAGAAGTGGCGATGGTTGCACCACAATATGAATGCACTCGATGACATGGGACCATACTCCTAAAAACGGTTAAGGTATAGATTTTATACTATGTATATTTTACCACAACATAAATATTTTTGAATATCTAGCAACAGGAAAAAGTTCAATAGAGAGAAACAGTATATAACATTGTTTGGATTTTCCATAAAAAATAATTGGAACCTCATGTATAGAAAAAAAGAAAAGGACAAGAAAGATATCTCCAACCACAGAATGTTAAAAGACATTATGTCTAGATGGATTGTGAATAATTTTTTCATACTTTTGTTAAGTATAAAGTGAAATTGCAAAGCCAACTCCCTACATCTCTGTCCTCTTAGTTTTATTGTTAGAGTGACAGCACTTCCTATTATCAGAAAGTACATGATACACTTAATTATTTCCTTCCACATTCTGTCTTCCCTGCTAGACTGGAGGCTCCATGAGAGCAGAGGCTTTGTCTTTTTCACTGCTGAATCCTTAATTTTTTAAAAAAATTATTTATATACTTATTTACTGAAAGGTAGAGAGAGAAGGAGGGACAGAAAGAAAGAAAGAAAGAAAGAAAGAAAGAGAGAGAGAGAGAGAGAGAGAGAGAGAGAGATATCTTCCATCCACTGGTTTACTCTCCAAATGACTGCAACAGCCAGGGTTAGGCCAGGCTGAAAGCAGGAGCCAAGAGCTCCATCCAGGTCTCCTACATAAGAGAGGGACTCAAGGGCTTGAACCATCTTCTGCTGCTTCCCAGGCATGTTAACAGGGAACTGGGTCAGGAAGCAGAGTAGCCTGGACTGGACCCAGCACTCCAATATGGAATGCAGGCATGCCAGGCTGCAGCTTAACTCACTGTGCCACAACACTGGCCCCTGGATTCTTGAATGGTTTCAGGCACTTAAGGGGCACTCCATAAATATATAAGTGAAAGAGAATGAGCCAATGAATGAGTGGGTGAATGGACAGAAAAGCAGTCACCCTCAGTGTCTTGGTCAACTCCTGCTGCTATAACAAAATAGCTTAGAGGAAGTAATTTATAAATCATAGAAACTTATTTGTTACAGTTCTGGAGGCTGGGAAGTCCAAGCTGGAGGTACCAGCAAACGTGGAGTCGTGAATACTTACTCTCTGCCTTACAGTTGTTACCTCCTGCTGCATCCTTGTATGGGAAAAGGGGCAAACAGCTCCCTCACACCTCTTTCTAAAGTTATTAGTCTCATTCCTGACACTCTGTCCTTATGGCATAATCATCTCCTAAATGCTCCCACCACTTGGATTTCAGCAGTGAATCTGGGGGGACACACAGACCAGAGCACTCAAGTTAGGACGGTGGGCACTCCTTTCTTCTATGCCCCTACTCCAGGTACTTGGATCTCAACCCTCTTCTTCTTAACTATAGTCTGCTAAGAATTGGAGGAAGGGTTTTCTCAGGTCAAGAATCATCCAAGTGGGAGTGGGCACCTGGCTTAGCTGTAAGACACAGGTTAGGATTCTCATGTCCCATACTGGGGTGCCTGAGCTCCAACCCCAGCTCCAGCTCCAGCTCCTGACTCCAGGCTCCTGCTAATGCATACTCTTAGAGACAGCAGGTGATGGCTCAAGTAGGTAGATCTCTTCCACCCACATAGAAGGCCTTGATCAAGTTCCCAGCTCCTGCCAGCCCTGGTCATTGTGGGCATTTAGGGAATGAACTCGGGGGCTGGGAACTCTCACTCTCAGTGCATCTTTTGTGTCTCTCAAATAAATAAATAATTTTAAAAAAATAATAAAAAGAAATAAGGCCCACAGTGTGTGTTCAAAGTGGAGTTAACAGAGTGGGAAGCAGTTTAGGAACTACGTCACTGAAGGATCATTGAACGGGCCGAGAATGTGAAAGATATTTGAAGGGGAGAAGAAATGTTGTAGCTCTCTGCAAATACTGAAAGTGTAGTCAGGCGGAACCATGTATCTATTCCTTAAATATCCTTTGAGCATCTTCCATATGCCAGAGACTAAGGTAGGCACCAAGTGTCAAAGCAGCACAAAACCAGGATTATATTTCATTTGTTTGGCTGCACAAGGATTGTTGAGGAGAACTTTGGAAAGACAGAGACTGATGTATCACAAGGCAGAGGGTCCAAATCAACATGCACTTTAGGGACCCCCAGGGATCTCTGAGATGCTCGTTATGTTTATTCTAGGGCTGGATAACTTTAGAGAATCTTGAGATAAAATAGGAGTTTCACAAGCGACAGCACAGGACCTCTCTGTTTGTTTGTTGTTGTTGTTGTTGTTGTTTTGACAGGCAGAGTTACACAGTGAGAGAGAGAGAGAGAGACAGACAGAGAGAAAGGTCTTCCTTCCGTTGGTTCACTCCCCAAATGACCACTATACGGCCGGTGCGCTGCACCAATCTGAAGCCAGGAGCCAGGTGCTTCTCCTGGTCTCCCATGCGGGTGCAGGGCCCAAGCACTTGGGCCATCCTCCACTGCACTCCTGGGCCACAGCAGACAGCTGGACTGGAAGAGGAGCAACCGGGACAGAACCTGGTGCCCCAACCAGGACTAGAACCCGGGGTGCCGGTGCTGCAGGCAGAGGATTAGCCTAGTGAGCTGCGGCGCCAGCCTGGACCTCTCAGTTTTAACCACACTCTTGGAAACTGTGATTTTGCTAAAGAGCAATGTGGTTCCTGCTACAGTTTCAGTATTTCTCTCCCCAAACTCAGGCCAGTGTTTAGTTCCCAAAGTCCTATGCTAATTGTACTGTGATGAGATTAGGTTACAGAGTAGAGCCCTTGTGATTGAATGTGGGTGGCTTTATAGGAAAGGGAGAGAGACACACGGAGAAGCACCTGCTCCCGCCATGATGGGATGCAGCCACAGACGACCCTCGTCAAAGCCTGCATTGTGCTTTTTGAACCCACACAATCACTAGCCAAAATAAACCTTTTTATTTAAAGGTTAGCCTGCCTCAGGTATTTTGTTACAGTAACAAAAAGTGAACAGTTTCTTTTCCTAAATTTTTTGGACCACAAAAGCTTTTTCTAAGGGTAGAATTCCATGGTATGAGCCTTAAGAAGTTATCTTCTCTTTGTAATGAGAGCATTCACCTTCAGAACACGTGGTCTGCAATGGCACAGTGGCATTCCCCAGACACACCTCAGCACCAGGTCCAGTGGACACCCGAGTCTTCATCCTGAATCACTCATCAACCCAATCCTCTCAGCTCCTCTCTCTCACCCTACTCTTCTCCCAGAGTCAGAGGTCAGCATTCACTTCTTTTCCTTTCCATTCTTGCTTGGAACTTGGCTTTAATGAGCCATGGCTTATATTTCTGCTTCTGAATTGAGTTTAATCTAACAAGGATTCTGATTTCTTCCCCAAAGCAGCCTGGGGTTATCTTGGGTAAAGCTCCCCTGGTCCAAATGTGCCATTCAGCTCCCTGGACACAGAGAAGGGGGACCTGGACGAGGCATGAGCAAGTCCTCCTACCAGGAATGCCATTAAAGGGGACAGTCTGGGCTTTCTGCTGTTAAAAGTTCTTGTCTGGTCTTATTTTCAGCTATGTCCTTGGCAGATCTGAGCTTCAGTAATGTCCTAATTCCAGGCATCATTTTAAATACTTTTGGTACCTGGGAAACCAGCTATTTCTGTATAATTCATCATCTTATTAATCTTCATATGGGATGCAGATGCTCTGCCATCCAGTTGGGGACTTTTTCACATGATAAATAAAGCCACTCATCCAAGGTCCCTGGGTTATGTTCTACCCTCCAGCCACGTGAATAAGACTCACAATGTCTGAAGGCTTGCACGTGATTCCTGAAGGAGAAACTATCGTAACAAACTACAGTCTTAAAAACCTCTCTCATTTTTGGTCTCTTACCTTGTCACTTGGGTTCTCATTCCAAAATCCAGTGACCTCATTGATTGCAGCACTTCAATACAGCCCATGTACTGGAAGGAGAAAAACAGAAGAACAAGTGGGACAGAAATACCACAAAGCAGCCTCTTAGCTTCTTAGGGACTTCCTGGGAAGCCCTGAAGTCAGCTCTTGATATCAAGTTACACTTGCACACTACCTGCCATTGATATTTCTGATCATTAATGGACACAAGCTTTCTGTTTCAGGTCAGTTTTAAAGCATCAGCTAAATCCAAACTATAACATCAGGAATGCAGGTAGCAAAGACTAACATGGGTTCAGTGGTTAAAAGAGTAGGCTCTGGGGTCAGACTACATGACTCTGAATTCTGGTTCTGCCACTTCTTAGTTACAGAATCTCAACCAGCTACTCAAATTCCCTGCAGCACAGTTTTACCATTAGTAAAATGGAGCTTCAATTAGAACTGTGTTAAATTATTTCACACATGCAAAGCTTTTAGAACAATGTCTAGTACACATAGATACCCAAAAATAAATGTGAGAAATAAAATAGGATTGTTGAAACATCTAAAGAGATATAACAAGTATAGAAATGCATGTAATACCAAACTTAGTAATATAAGATCTTAGCAGGTTTTGCAAGATTAGAAAGATTCAGGGAGTTCAAGAAAGAAAAATAATTCATGCTCCACACCAGTGATTAGCATATTTAAATTGAACAAGGAGTACTAGAAAAGGAATTGTGACTTTCGAATGGTATGAATGGTTTGTATTTAACAGGGCTGCAGTGGGGAGCTGTGGTAGGCTTTGGGCAAGAGCATGATGTAACTGGATCTGTGTTTGAGGAGGCTTAAGTGAGCAGCAGTGTGAGGTGGGTTAAGAGTAAGGGAATAAGTTAGGAAGCTCCCATCAGGGAGGAAGTGATGACAGCCCACACTGAGAAGGGACGGTGGCAAGAGGAGGGAGGGGACAGATTCAAGCGACATCACGGAAACAGATACTACAGGACTCGGCAGTGGATCTGAGCCAGAGAGTAAGAGAGAAGGATGAGTCAAGGGTGACTCAGACGTATCCAGCCAGGGTAGCAGAGGGAACAGTGATGCCATCAACAGGAAAGCCAGGAAGGGGAAAGATGATGAATTAGTTTGGGACATGTTGACAGCAAGACGCTGGTGGGGTATCCAGGAAATAACAAGCCGGCAGTCAAACACTGAATTCAGGCTCCTGGAGAGGAATTAAGCTGGAGATGCAGATTTGGTGCTCTGTATAGCTTCACCAGGTGCGGCTGTGGGAGTAAATCCTCTTAGCAGAGCCTTGGTTGGCCAGGGCGTGCACTGCTTTGAGCATTGCCTTGTAAGGGCTATGAGAGCCCAGCAGTCTGATCGAAAGGGATCTTGGGAACGGTGTGCTTCCTCTTCAGTTTTCCTTTGGAGTTCTCATGCCTTTCTCTGAGCGGAAATGGTAAAGGCACTGTGGAAAGACAGCAGGAGCCACATGGCGGGTGGGGAAGGCACCTCCCCAGATACTCCTTACAGTATTTCTGAGCAGGTAATTCTACAGACTTAACGTCCTAAGAGCAGCGAAGTGTGCCAGCGCGGTCTTGCGCCTAGTGCTGGGGAGAGCACGCTAGCTAGAACATTCTCAGCCAGACCCCAGTCCATCACACTCCTCTTGGGGTCTTCAGTATTGCTACAACCATTCTGAGTATTTCAATCTGTCCCACTCGTGCTTAACTTAGGCTTGAGTACCATTGAGAAATAAGTGATGGCAAGAGATTGCTATTTAATAGACCATAAAGCCATAAACCAGGAAAAGAGAGCTAGATTTACAGGGCTAAAGGCCATCTCCACAATGTATGGAGCCAAGCTCCATACGCAGGGAGATCGAGAAAACTGCTTACATAGCTTCCCTGGGGGCTCCAGTGTCCCCTGCCCTGCAGGGCCGGCCCTCTGTCCACTCCAAGACATAACCTGCTCCCCTCCCTCCCTCACCTCTGGCCCAGGGAAGAACAGACTCCCCATACACAGGCTGGAGAGGCTACTTTCCCAGGACTCCTTGTTGGTGCAGAGGTGGGTGACATCTTTCCCCACAACTGTCAATCACTGATTTAAAACAAGGTGATACCAACCAGCCCTTCACTGCACACTTTTTGAAAAGGTGACCAAGCAACTACGTTTTTCATACGCTGCCACAGCGATTTTTCAAAAATACATATCATATCATGTCCCTCCACTGCCTAAAACCTTGACATCTAATATGAAACAAAGGCACTGGGACTGGAGCTGTGGTGCAGCGGGTAAAGCCGCCACTTGCAACACCAGCATCTCATGTCAGAGCGCCAGTTTGAGTCCCAACTGCTCCACTCCAATCCAGCTCCCAGCTAATGGCCTGGGAAAGCAGCAGAAGATGATCCAAGTGCTTGGGCCTCTGTCACCCATGTGGGAAACCTGGATGGAGTTCCTAGCTCCTGGCTTTAAACAAGCCAAGCCCCAGATGTTATGACCATTTAAGGGATGAACAATGGATAGAGGATCTCTCTCTCTCCCTCTCTCTCTCGCTCTCGCTCTTTCTCTTGCTCTCTCTGATGCTCTGCCTTTCAAATAAATTAAATCTTTTAAAAGAAAAGTAGGAATCTCTTCTCAATGTAACATATCAGATAGTCTATTAAAGAGAAAAACAAGTGCATTACTATAAACTCCTAGAGCCGCATTTTCTGGCCTCTGCTTACCCCTTCTGCCCTCCCTGTGTCACTCTCCGCCACACACTGCTGCGGGGCCTTGGCACTTGCTGTTGCCTCCACCCAGCTGTTTACCCATTGCTCTGAAAAACTGACTCCTTGTCCTCCTGCAGGTTTCTTTTTTTTTTTTTTTTAAGATTTTATTTATTTTTTTGAGAGGTAGAGTTACAGACAGTGAGAGAGAGACACACAGAGAGAAAGGTCTTCCTTCTGCTGGTTCACTCCACAGTTGGCTGCAATGGCCGGAGCTGCACTGATCCTAAGCCAGGAGCCAGGAGCTTCTTCTGGGTCTCCTACATGGGTACAAGGGCCCAAGCACTTGAGCCATCTTCCACTGCTTTCCCAGGCCACAGCAGAGAGCCGGAGTGGAAGAGGAGCAACCAGGACTAGAACCGGTGCCCATATGGGATGCAGGTGCCGCAGATGGAGGATTAACCTACTGCACTATGGCCTGGCCCCCATCCTGCAGGTTTCAATTCAAATGACACCCAGAGGCCCCCTCCTGCCGTCTCCATCCTGATTTGCCACCTTCTCATTTCTGAGTGGTTATCAAGTTTCCTCGCTGATTTGTCCATCAATTACCTGTCCTCATTCCCTGGCTGACAGCCTCCTAAGAGGAGGGACCATGACCAACACCACATTTCCAGCTCATGGGCCAGTACCCAGGACCTGGCAGGTGAGCAGTAAACATTGATTAGAAAACTGAAGACAGCATCAAGTCTTCAATGCTACTGTACCTTTAAGATGAGCACCAAGGGAAAGAGAGTGAGGGAGGTGATGGTATGACTGTGGCCTCTCCACCCTGGGGACCAAGGTGGAGGACAAAACAAGGAGGCCTCAGAGGGAGACTCAGGCTCCACGGGGCAGGAGCCTGGGGAGGGTTCTAGGTTTCTCAGGTCTTTACTCCGTGTCTGTTACTTCTCTTAATCCTCATTCTCAAGATCGGCCACAAGCAACCTAAACAAGAGTGCGTTCTATAGGAAGCAGGCTGCTCAAGTTCTCAGGCTGGGGGCAAGGACAGCCCTGAGTGACAGGGCAGAGGACGAACTGTGAAAGGAAAGGGGAGGAGCCTGCTTGACTGATGGGAGGAGGACAAAGGGAGCTGGCAGGGACAGAGGCACCCCAAGGACCAATTCCGTGGGAGGGATGGTGTCACACTAGTGGCAACTGACCCAATAAAATGAACAGCCAAAGATGGGGCTGCGGGCATCTGTGAAGATGGGGGTTTTGATGATTTTTTGCAGGGTGGGGAGTAGGACAAGGCAGGAGGGCCTCCTCCAAGGTTCTGTTCTTCATCACTTCCCAGTGATAACGGCCTTATCTGCTTCCTCTGAAGCAGGCCCTTGGCCTCGCACCAGCCTGTGCCGATTCACACTTGTCTCTGTCAGTACCAGCACAGATGACCCACACCCTCCGCCAGCCTCACTGTGATATGATGGAAGGTTCTGGAGAAAGGTGTCATAGCCTGAGGTGACGACAATGAGGACAAACCCCCATCCCCCATGGGCAAGTCCTGGAGAAACCACAGCTGATTTTTGCCACCATTACCCCAGAACAGAGGTGATCCTCCCACAGACCGGCACTGTTCATTTCATGTAGAGATCGCTGCCATTGCTGTAAGGAAGCGGGGAGGGGTTGTGCATAAAAATCACCTTCCTGCTTCTTTGCTTAGGTGCCGGAAGGCTGCATAAACAGACAGTGGCTGAATACCAAGGCCGGAGGGAGGCATTTAGTGTGTTGAACGTAAACTGGAGATGACAGTGCCTCTCCTTCATTTATTAAATGAAGATCGGTGTAAGACACGGTCTCCGTTCTTAAGAAACCCGGCCCCATAAAGCCCCGACAGCCACGGAAAGCAATGACTTTCCTTTTTATGAGGCTGGTCATTGTTGTGAGCTCCATTTAATAGATGAGGAAATTAGAGCCTATTAAAGGGAAGAGCCTGGCTCGGTTTCATGGATTCACTGAGACTGAATCAGCATTGATTCCAGAGTCCGCAGTCATCGCGGGGACCCTGGGTAACAGATGCAGCTGGAGGAGAAAGGTTAGCTAGCTGACTCCCTCCCCTCGGTCTGCCCAGTTAGGTAATCCAGTGCTGAGACTGGGGGCCACAATGCTAATAGCAGATGTGACTTTAAGCTGCTCTGGGGACCGCAGGAGGTGGCACATGAGACAGAGACACTCCCTAATTCCCGACCTTGGGTGAGGAGAGGACACTGGAGCCCTTTATCCAGAGGCATACGGGGTTGGTAAGAAAGTGGTGGCACTCAGCAGGGCCCAGACAACCTTCCTATTCAGCACCTGTCAGACAGCTCACCCAAGCCCAGCTCCCTCCC